TACTCGGGCCTAAAAAAAGGAAGCCGCTGCTCGTTTGATCGGGCTCGGAACGGAGGGGGAGGCAGAATCGGGGGTCGTCCAACTCACTAAATAGGCTGCGGTTTGGTCCACGGGGAAAATCGCGGTGTTCGAGTATGTGCCAAGTGTAAAACGGGAGGAAATGAGATCGAGTTTGTTCTTGTCGAAAAAAGGAAGGCGCATGAGAACAAATCTAACCAGCTAAGATTCCCCGAATTCAAGTTTCAGGGACAAAGGCACCAAGTCCACTCTCTCTAATATTGCTTTGCCATTGATACGGGAAGTCCTTTTGGCTGGGTCGATATTCTGGAGGGGCATTAGCACGGCCTTCACGGGAAAAACTGCTTTTACTCTCATAAATGGCCCCGAATGTTCAACGCAGAACACGACACGTAAGGACGCTGGGAAATGGTCTAAGTTGATGCGATCAAGATAATGTGTACATCACATTGTTCAAGTGCGCTTGCTCGGAATCAGCAAGCAAATCAATCATATCTGCATGACTGACTCGCTAACTAACAACCATCCGGGCATTTAAACTCGTGAAATATGCTGCAAATCATCACAGTGGACGAACAAAGAATGAATGTACAACAAAATGGGTCGTGGAATGTGTTCGGAATATCAGAGAAAGAGGAGAAATCTGCTCCCTAGAATCGAGTGCAAGCGGAGGGATGCGATTCGAGAAGTGCAGTTTGGTGTTGAGCGATACTCGCTCGGAGAGCGAGTATACGAAAGCTTTATCCACACCCGATTACCGTGTACGTTCGAAGGCGAGGAGGTGCACCGTATCTGCCTATCATTTCCTTGCCCTTCGCTTCGCTTCGCTTCCTTTCTTTTTCCGGACAATTAGTGCACTCGCAGAAGCTTTCTCAGTTTCCACGATTGTGGTTTGAAAGTCCCAGTGTGCCCGAATCGATCTTCCCAAGGTCCGACGGGCAGTTGGAGCGGATTAGACCGGCGCGACTGATTGAGAGACACGGGGGAAGGAACTCGTCTTTTTCGCCGGGCTTCACTTTCCCAGCGAAAGGTGAATCCTGTAGAGTAGGAAACAAGCTATAGCTATGGAGGCCAATTGCGCGACCGACCTTGCGATCAATGAGAGCGAGGGCGAGGGAGGGACAGAGACAGAGCGAGGGCGAGAGGCAAGGGAACAAAGCGATCGGAGTTAGGGCTGTGTTGACTTGCCAGTCAAGGGCCTGAAAAGTAAGACAAGCAGATCTAGATAGGGCTTAATGACATTGAAATGGACGCTTGAATTTTGGACCCATGACGAAATCGCGACTCGGATTAGGGCCCGGTTTGGCATCGGGTTAACTTTGCACTCATGCAAATTCTTATCAGAATCTCCATAACACGTATCCCGGGGCGATTGGCTTCAAAGAGGTTTGACCGGAAAAGACTACGAAGCTTAGTTATGAGTTATTACTCCCCGGACCTTTATGGTCAAATTGACATGCTAGGACATTATTTACTCCCGGCTCGCATTTAAAAGTGTGGGAGCCACTTGCAAAGTCCGCCCAAGATGTGGTTGGCATCAGTTACTGGGTTTATTGCTCAAGTACTGTTCTGTACTATACAGGTACATGGATTTAATAAATCGTATGGTTACATTCTTTCATACGCTATCATTTCCCCACAAAGTATTTACAGGAGAAAGTCTCCTGTACAATGCACACCTTTAGGGTTGACTCTACTCTAGCGAGGTTCTGTTGTTGTACTTACTGTTCGCATATGCATGCCTTTCCCCTGCACTGCACCAACAAACAAACAAACATGTCACGCTTTGGTATTGGTATGGATCTCATGCCCTCGCGCCCGTAGCCCCATCATCGCATCCCACCCGACCTCATTCATATCGACCCATCTCGTTGCGCTCCGTTTCAATTGGGCCCGTAATCATTGGCCTAGCTAGCTGGCCGCCCGAGGTGCCTCCGAGCATTTCCGGCCTTCAGGATTTCCGCTCGTTCGGATTAGTGATTCTCTTTACTTGGCTCCTCGTAGTACTGTATCGTATTGTCATGAGTTCCATCAACATAAACATGATGGCGATCGTTGAGAGAAACGACTCGGGAGACAAAGATGAACTTGAATGAACCAGAATGACAAACGAGCTGATATTTTACGTGCGACGTGTGGGTGCAGGAAGGCAGCGAGGAATGAAAGGAGAAAGGGCGAAATGCGGAGGAGAGACGTGCAGTTTACCGAGCGAGAGAGAAGTCGGGAAAGGGAAGGGGGGGATGCTTAGGGGCGACTAATAATAAATGGGGTCGGTAAAAGATGGGGGTGGGGCGAGGGGGAGAAAACGAAAATGAGAAGGATAAAAAGAAAATTTGGGCGTTTATTTATTAATGTAAAAAACATGGCAATGAAGGGGAAATATTAATGGCACGAGAGGAGGGGGGCGGGCGAGCGTACAATAGTAGTAGAGTCGGGGCTTTGACCCTCCGGACTCGCCGTGATACCCGATGCCGGCGGCACACTTTCCGACGGCAGTCACCTCCTGCCAGCCGTTTACTAGCTTCGCGAAGAACCGGCACGGCGACTGGTAGACCCGGGCATTCATTGTCGTCGTAAAGACTCTGTACAGGCGCCTTATGTGGGTCGTTGATATCCAAAGCCCTACGAAACGAAGAAGACGATATTCTTCTTTTCGTTATTTGAGAAATATTGGCTTTTAAATATTTCCACTGCGAATTTTAAATCTATTTTATTGCGAGACTGACTTTGCAGCAATTTCTGCACTGCTGTGTACACTTAATTTGACCTGATCACTGTACCCACACCTCTCATTAAAGGGCTGTTCTCGCTCTCTCGTCTTTCAGTTAATGAAAGAACGCCTTGTCTTGAAGCCCATTCCAATTACACAGCGGGCGAAGGCAAAATGCGATAGTATATACCCTGGCGTATAAGTTAACATAAGAGTATTTCGTACACCCGCGAAAGAAGGGGTCCTTCAAGTTCTTACCGCATTAAAGGAAGTATCATTTCAAAAAGGATAGGAGGGTGACCGGGAAGCGCATTCATGGGCGGTAACTCGATCCAGTTCTTGTTGTTAATTCACGTAAATGATTCTAATCTCAAGGGTTCTTAAATTTCGACCATATCGCTCGTGTCTCATTCAGAGCTCCACTCTAAATAAACCGACCGCTTTTATGGTGTTTTGTTCTTTCTTTTGATCTTTTCATGATTCACTCTGATTCATTTGCACTTAGTTATAGTTACATGTTCTTGTTCTTTATGAACCAAAATCTTCTCCTCTATTCATGACCATAAATGAGCGATGTTTATGTCGTCCTACCATCCAGCAAGCGCACTTGCACTAAATCTACTGTTCATGGATGAAACTCCAAAGTCTCTGTCCCTAAAGTTAGAGGATTCAGTGTCATCCTCGGTACTTATAAAGGCCGAGAACATTGTTTGACTGATCACTTGCCAGGCACTTAAATTCGACATGTTTGCCAGTTATTCTCCACTTGAAACCTTCCATCAAAGTGGAGGGACGCTTGATTGTTGTCGGTTTCGATGATCGAGCGCTGCGCAGCTTTGAATTCCCCTCTCCACTCGATGGCGCTTTGATTTGGGATTAATTTTCCTGATGATGAACGCTGTTTGTAATTCAAAACAACGCTAAGCACGGTTATCGCCAAGTACGATTCCCGATCATCATCATCTTGACAACTCAGAGTCGGAGTGTGATCCATATCAAATCTGGAGTCGCACCGCTTATAAAGACGCAAAGTTTTGTAGATCTAGTTCTCCTCTTTTGTCAGAGATGGGTATTTAAGCGCGCACGAAATGCGTTTTCTCTATTTCTTTCAACTTTACCTCATTATACAAAAGAATTCAGGAGTCTCAATTCCTTGGCTCCAAGCTCAACAAGGTCTGCCAATATTTATTATGTTCACACAAGGGCAGACATTTGGTTTTGATACGCTTTTAAATTGCCTTTCTTATCCATGTTTTGAATGTTTGTCTTGTGAAAATTTTTGGTAATGTTAAAAATAATAATGAAATGCGTTTCAGCTGTTCTTATCTGATTTTTTTTTTAAAGAAGAACTTCATAGGTTCAAATTCGTATAGTCCTGAGTTTTTGGTCCTTCTGTAGATAAAAGTTGATTTTAGTTCATCAATAAAGAGTATCTCTTACAATACATATGGCTAATTTTAAAGATTTATGGCTAATGAATTTTGTTGAGATGTTTTTCAATTCTAAAAGTTATTAGCTTCATCATGCGGGAACTTTCTATGTTCGAGGGAGGAAACAAGTTTGAACGAGGAGATGGATGTGTGGCATATATACTTGGGTCGATGCACCATGATGGGGCTGATATTAAATATTTATGGGTCATGAGAAATGAGGGAATAATACAAATACTTCTGGATGCCGATTTGGGCATATATCGTCGCGCGAAGTCATGAATAGGCCAACGAAAACAAACAAAACTCGGTGGCGGGTAGCCGGACTTAGCTTTGTAGTTAGTGGGACCTTGTGTTAGCCGGTGCCTCCAGGCCCGAAAAAATATACCCTTTGAGAGATATAAAGAGTCGAAATTCCCCTCATTTCCTGTCTTGTCTCGTGCATGGTAACCAAGAGCGTGAATATTTTGAATGTTCTCATGGATGGGACAGATGGGAAAAAACAATGGCTCGAATCAATTCAGCATGGGATGGTGTAAGCAGAGGAGGTTTAGTGGCGGGACGCAGGGAGGAATTTTGTGTGGGGTGGGGGTGTGGGCGTAAAAGTAAATAGTTCGATGAGTCATTTCGCTTCCTTCGTCTGTCTGTCTTTGAGATGGTTAGTAATGAACACCTGCACCTCTATTGTCTCGTAGCAGCAATCTAAATTGAGACAAGACAAAACGTACACACGTCTGCGAAATCCCTCAAAAAGACCATGTTGTTTTTGGATGTGTTTATGACGGGCCACTCCTTACTGTACTGACGTTTATGTCATTCAAGAGCGATGAGCAGCGAAAACAACTTCGCGAATCAATGTGAAGGGACGGGACGGGTCGCCCTTCCTTCCTTCCTTTCTTTTTCAAATCCTACTATGATTGACTTTTTATCTTCCTTTCCGGCCTTCCTCTCGCTCTCTTCATCTCTCTCTCACCCTTGTGTCTTTCTTCTCTCGCGAGTCTTGAGTGCCTGCTGTGAGGGAAAGTGAGCGAGTCAGTGCGTCGGTTGCCTCTCTCCTGGCTTGCCCACCCCTCTGCCCATAGTAGCTTGCTCTTCTTTAGACCCAAGTCTCTGAGGATTCTCGACATTCTCCCCATTCACCCCCTCTCCCAGTCCGTCTCTCACTCCGCGCCGTCTCAAGTCGCCGCAGCACCAGCGGCAGCCAGCTCTCGAGAATTCGTTGGTTTGTTGGACCAACGGAGGACTCCGCCGAGTTGTAGAAGCGTTCACGAGGTCATACTCTAGCGATCTGGAGGGGACAGATTGGAAGGGAAGCCGCATGATGGCAGTGGCAATGGAAGTTGGATGGAGAGGACCCGAGCTTGGAAGCGCCTCGTATTCTCATATGAAACTCAAAGCCCCGCCCGCTGCTACCACCTCGTCCTCTTCATGGGGAGGTGCGGATCCTCAGAAGGTCCTGCAGCTGATGATGGGCCACCGCCCCACGCTGGATTTGTTTGGAAACGCATCCTCGTCTCCAGCTGAAGTGGACGACGCGCAGCCCGACGAGTTCGTGGAACTGGACCCGGACCTTCCTCTACCGTCGGAATGGGAGAAATGTTTGGACCTCAAGGTCAGTCTTGCTGTCGATCCACCAGAACGCGCCGTTGTGTTTCTGGCCTGTACTCGTAGTCTGCTCAGTTCCAGCACCAACATCTTACGTCCGTCATTCTTGAATATATTCAGTCCTCTGGACACGATGGAAAAGACAATCCTCTTTCTCGGAATCTGTCACGAACGAACGCGTCCTGCACAGTCGTCTCTAGGATAACTCTCGTGCTAGTGTAGATTGTTCTATGTCGCGCGATCGAATACGCAAGGTAGAAAATTCTGAGTGTGTGGACCGACACACGTCTGACATGAGTTTTTGGAATTTGCAGTCAGGAAAGGTTTACTACGTCAATCGTCACACCGGCGCCGAGACTTACAGCGATCCCAGGAAGCATGCCCCTCTCATGCCCGACGTTCAAGCGTCGATATCCGCGGCCGCCTCCGTGTCGCCTCAAACTCGTGACTTTCTCGGGAGTAAGGAATCGGAGAACGAGAAACTGGGAGAGTATTCAGGAAGGTCTCCGCCGTCATTTTCCGGTCGAGAAATCGAGAGGGAGGAGCCTCTACCGCCGGCTTTGTTCGGTGGTGCACGCGAGCAGTGGGGGCACGGATGGCTTGGTTCGGGCTCGGGCTCGGGCTCGGGCTCGGCCGCCCCGGCCGACAAGCGCGACGTCGGAGTTACAGATAACGGACTGGAGCTGAAGCTGAATCTTCAGGGAAAGACGCAACAAAACAGCGTCTGTACGCTGGAGAAGGTGGAGATGGCCTTGATGCGGTCGGAGAAAATGCTCGGAAAGAGGGTAGCGTCGGCGAACCGCTCGTCTCCACCGCAAGGAGACCAGCAACTGCAACGGCTACGCATCAATCAGTCAGTCGCCCAGGTCTCGCCGTCGCCTTCGACTTCATCGTCGTCCACATCAACCTCGTCACGTCCCTCTCTGATCAGCTATCAACTCCTCGACAAGGAGAATCAAAACAGTAACAAGCGGCCCGCGGCCTCGTCCACCGTAGACAGCGAAGGGGACAGCGCTAAGGAGACCGTTATGCTCGGAGGCTGCAAGAACTGCCTCATGTTCGTGATGCTGTCCAAGTCCAATCCCGTATGTCCGCGCTGCGGGACGTCGGTGGCGATGGACTTCTCGTCGCCTCCCGTCGCCAACAAGAGATCCAAGTTCGACGGGGACCGCCGTGACTAGCGCTAGCTCTTTCCTCATATATTTTTTCGCAGCACGACAGACAATTCATCTTCGATCAAAATTTTTCTTTCTTTCGTTCGAACAGAAGTTAGAGTGTCGAATTAGAGTGACTCGGGTACACATAGCTCTTCAGCATTTACTGAAATTCTTTGAGCAGACTGAATTGTAAGGGAATTCCTTACACAGCAGCGTAGTGAGGGAGTGAACGTTAGCTAGCACACCTCTTACCGATTACCACAAAATGTATATTCATGCTTGTACATCGCTAGCTGGCTACTGTTCGAGTAGAAGCAACGCCCCTGGTCTCGGGAAGGTCGGAAATACTTTTGTAATATAGGTTCGTTTGTAAGTTACATCACTTTTCAAATGTCTTACAGCATCAACAATACTTTCAAGTCATTTCATCGTGCCCGCCAAAGATTGTCCACTTGTGATTGTTTTCTCTTGATGGTATGTTTGCGGTTGAAATTGTTGGACGTGAAATTCTCAGGCTTTCTATTCATGGTCGTAATTCCCGTAATTTTGACCCGGAACGTTTTAAAATTTGACTCAAAAGAAATTTCCAGCGGTTGCCTAAGTGGAAGACGAAACGCGAATTGCATGCACCATGCCAAACGCACCGGGAAATTTATCTCCATCTCAGAGCTTAGGGAAAGCATGTCCGGGCAAGTACAACATCTCTGAATTCTCACAATCCCTTTGTGACAGTGCTTTGGTGTTCAAGAGTAAAGCCGAGCAACCGACGTGACGAACAAAGGGCGATCGAGAAAGGAGAGAGAGAGAGAGAGAGAGAGAGTCAATATCTGGAGGGGTGAAAAGTAACGCAAGCACTTCGTCATGAAAACTGCGGTAGACCTAACCAGACGGAGGCTCACATGGCTTGGCCGTAGGAAGATGGGCACTGTAGGAGCCTGAATTGTTCAGAACCAATCTAAATTCCTCTCAGTGGTGCATAGTGCGAATCAGAAGTATTGAAAGCTCCACTGTTCGGATGAAGATTGGTGTGAGGGACTCGTGAACTTTTTCGTCTCTTTCCTCGAACTTTACCGTCGACAAATCTGAGTGTTATTAACGAACTTCTGCCACTATTTACCGATCATTAGTTTAGGAGGACAGAAATTCCCGTTCTCTGCGACTACAATTTACAACATGTTGTACACTCTCGTTTAGCACATGCGTGAATGTTGGTTCCTGAAGATTGTGGAGGAGAGGCAAATCCAAACAGCGGCACCGGCAGCAGCAGCAGCAACAAGCGAACTCGAAACCTGTGTCAACTGTTGCTATATGTAACGTGTGCTTGCAAAAAACAATCATGCCCACACGCATTCCGAGCACACTAGTCGTAGGATTACCGAAGTTGGTAAGTTACTCACAAACTGTGTGCGAGCGAGGAATAAGCACAGTTCTCAAGCATTGACTATCTCCAAGTCGATTACAATCTCAGCATCTTGCACGGGAGGGTAGTAGGGGGGTGCGGTGGCGACTACTGGCGAGCATAGCTAGGGAAAGCAACCGAGGTTTAGACTTCTCTCCCGTGCAGATACTATCTGAATGGAGATGCAATTCAGTTTCACTGCAGCTGTAGGCTTTTAATGCCGAGCCTATTTTAAGGCCCTAGCTTTCAAGTCAAAGGAACCACTCATGGAAATTTGTATTCAGTCCAAACTCACCTCATCTGCTCTCATCCCCTCCCCTTTTCACGTCGCGTCCAGGTTAAAGACTAAATTTAAAGATAAGGAACGAAATCAAGTATAGTACAGTACATGTGATAGCTAACCATGCTTCCCTATTAAAATGGTTCCTTTTTTGCGTCACGCGAACATTGATTAGTTTCATGATACCGAGTCGTCTTACAAGGTCTTTCGAATTCCGGAATCGCGGACGTCTGAGCTCCATCATCTCCGATTTAGGATGCATTACGCTAGTATAATTGAAGCAGGGATGGGGTGCTTTGCTGTTACTTAATAATCTTCACACGGCAATGAGTACGAATCTCATCTCAATGATGACGAACATGAACGGCCTCCTGTAGACATCTTGGCCGATTTGTATTTTGGGAACCTTTTCCTCGCAATGATGGCATGATTATTGATCTCATCCTCATGTTCTCATAATGTCTAACGTGGGTACTTGAATTAGTCGCTCGCCCCGTTATCTCTGCCATGGGATCACCATAATATATGATTTGACAACCACAACTACTACCGTTAGCTGCCCTCTGGTTCGACCCATCCTTCATTAACCGGTTTTATTTTCAGCAATGTGCCAATAACCAAGAGTAGACATCGCTTCCCAATTCGCGATGTATTGGACGGTCTATTTCCCCTTGTCCGGCCACTCTCCAGATCAATATGCGACTTTCGCGGAGGCCGAGCTCAGCCCCCATCAGAACCTCCGGGTCTTTCTTGCTTGGTTGCCATTTGAACTGTGGCAAATGCCTGCTGACTTGTCTCTGATATTAAAAGATCGGTTTGATAGTCATCGTTCAGAAAGGAGAGGAATACTGGCGCAATCGAGTTACGCTTACTGTACCACCACCGGCACAATGAATATTCACGTCGTACGGCTGACCTTTTAATAGAAATTATGATCATAACATGGGGGCTTTGAAAATCTAACGTCGGACTAGCTCTTTGCGAATCAATATCTAATATAAAGAAGATTATAATAATTCTTTCAATCAATTAGGTTGAATGTTTTTTTTTCTTACTAGATGTCTGTATGTTGCTGGTTGGAAGTTGATTTCTCTAAATAGTTTTTGAGACTGTATTAAAGTCCATCTTTCGCCGACAATGTTTTCTGTTCCATCAGCCTGCACAAAATGGACTTTATTTTAATTTTTCTAGGATTTGGAGCCTGCATGGGCTTCTCGACTTGATAGAATTTTCTGCGCATAATATTAGTCAAATCAGTTTGCTGATTTGACTACTCATCGGACAAATGACTATTTTCCTTCCCACTGTCCTTACATATTACTTGCAAAAGTCTCTAAATTCTAATGCCTAATTATTTAAAATAGTCTCAGCAATGTTCATATCTCAGATTTCCTCAACCTTGTCTGGATGTGGAGTATGTGATCTCCATAATTTTGATTATTATTATCCTCCTCTGTTATTGTCCTCTTCAATTCTTAAAATAATTCTTATTTTAAAGGGTCGGCTGGAAGGGGTGACTTAAATGTAAGTACAGATTAAACACCAATCATTTGAACCTAAATAACTTATTTTGTCATAAAATTCACAGTTAAGTCATTTTCTAAAAATAATATCATAAAACAAATTCTTGGATTATATTCTAAAAGAGACAGGTGGTATGTTCTGAGGAATATTTAGAAAAAAAATTGTATCTTTTTCACAAGAAATAAAGTTCACAACAATAAATTTATTACATTTATTTCATAAAATGAAAATTTCCCAGGAAAATATCTCCAACACAATGCTTTTAAAAATGTCAAAAATCTTCCACCTTTTCAGATGATAATATTCTTGACAATCCATCAAAAAAGAAAAACAATGTAACTTATTAAATATCAAAGAAGAAACCACAACTGTATCTAAACACTAGTCATACGTTGCAATGTATTGGAACGTGTATGTAGTGCAATAGGTATTATTGTAATGGTGATTATCTGGAAAAATATTCACAAATACCATTCAAGGCAAGTATAATGCGATGGTAAAGATTGTTTCATTTTTGTATAAATATCAATGACTGTGATTTTGAATGCAATGAACTTATTTCTAATCTTGAATTATTTGGAATTTGATCATTTAGATTATTCACATTCTTCACATTGTTTATTCATAAGTAATAAAAATAACATATTAAAAAAAATAACATTATGTTACAAAACATTATCTACCAGATTGAAGTTTTGGAATGTGTTTGAAATTATAAAACCTAAATATATTCAAATAAACATCAAGAATATGAAACTATACGTGTATATATATGTGTGTGACTTTATTACATGTAATGTATTTTTACCTATGCAAATGAGATATACTACCTCTAAACTGTTACAGTACAGAACTTTCTTAATACCTTCGGGTATTGTAATATGTTTACATCGAAACTTGTATTGAAAATGTAGTTATAAAGTTAAAATAATGAGTCCTTGTACTCTTCTGTATATCACGTTGCATTTTATGATATTGTATTTTAAGAGGTAGTAACCTGTCGTCGAGTTCTGAGGGTGTTAAGATCCGAACAGATTATGAGGTTAATGTTGCTACTTTCATTCAGGTATTTTTACAGTTAAATTGCATGTCATAATGAACTTTTGTCTTAACAGGAAACTCGAAGAATCATTAAAGTATTGGACAAGAACTACAGGTGTTCACATGTTCTTTCGAAGATGGAGACCCTTGTTGACAGTTTCGGGAACTATCAAGAGTCCTCTCAGCAACTTCGATATGTTTAGGAGCTGCACTAGGTGGAAGTATTTAGTGTGCGATGGACTGACCATCAATTTAAATTTATTGTTTCAACCGTAACTTCTTCTGAGAAATCAAGTGTGTTTCGACATTTGAAAATATGAAAGACCTTTTCAATAAATTGAGCAATAATAAGAATGGTGGAATCTATCATGAGTGAAGGACGCACCAAGCATCCAAAGTAGTATCATTCATGGTCGTGATGGAATTAAGATTTTTCACCAAGTTCATGATCTTTCACGAGAGGATAGATTGGATACAATGTTAACGAGGTGAATTTGTCTAGCATTGATTTGCACACACATCTCTTCCATGTGTCATTTATACCATCAGCACAAATGGGATCAAGAATGATGTCTCTTTTCCTCAACGCATTGAAAGCCATTCAATGGCCTTCCATCAGATCTATATTTTTCATCCGAGTAAACTCGCAGCTCCGTTAAAAGGGTGAAAACAGCATAAAAGCGTGAATACAAGCCACCCTAGACGTCTTGTGGACATGAAAAAGAGCAGAGAAAATCTTTTGGAAGCACTAAATAATGGTGGTATTGACCCTTCCAACCCGGAGTATAATTGCTCTTCTCGGAATCTGCGATATTTGTGAGCTTCTTGAACCTGTATTGAACCCGGATAAGTTCTCAACTCTTTTCGCATTTATTCTGCCCGGCGGGACCGTCCGTTGCCACATGCCGGTTTCTCACTTCTGTTTAGGACTCCCTTCCTGCCTCAGTGCCCTGTCCCCGCTCGCCCGCCCGACAGCCAATTTCCCGCCTCAGCTACTCTACTGTAGTAGTACTGTATCCCACGCCCCGTCACTCGCCTCTCTCATATCTACTAGAGTCTTGCGGTACGAGTAGGGGAACAGCATGTATGCGCTTACGGCAAAGCCTAATCTACTGCTAATTTAAGCTGGGATAATAGCTGCGCTGAGCAGGCAAAGACCGTGCTTCTTTCTTTGCTCAATTGAGGCTGGCTGCC